TTTTTGGTGTGACGGGCTGCCATTTCCGGGATCTACTAGACTGAGACTACCTTTGACATGGGGGACTAGCTTGCCTCGTATGCCATCGCCGTGGCCTATACTACACAATAACGATTGGTCTGAAACGAACAATAAAAGAAAAAGAGAAAGAAAAAACACATCCCGACGTGCCTAAAGCGTGCGTGCACGAGACCTTGTCTAAATGGGAAAAAGGCATCAAAAAGGGAGAAGTGGGATTGGCAGAGCCGCTCGCCACCACCACCTCCACCTCTATCCAACGCTACGGTCCGACCAGTGCAGCCATCGAAGAGGGGGCCCACAGATGTCGGTAAGGGTAATAGAGAAAACGACCAAGTGCCGATTTCGATCGTTGACCGGTATCCAACGCCGTGTAAATGCAAGCGGATAAGAAAAATTGTGGGATGAAGACAACAGCGAAAGAAGACGGAAGATAATAAAAAAGTAAAGCCCCTACTATAAAAAATAAACGCCAATACTGTCGCGAGCTCGAGCTCGAGCTCGATGAACGCCAGTGAAGCCATGCAAAATGGTATAAAGCGTGGTTGAGGAAATCCAAGTCGAGCGGTCGCCGCCATTGAGAACCATGAACGATTGGGCCGAACTCTGCCGTCTTGCTTCCTTACTCGTCAGGCCACCTCCGCCCCCTCCCAAACCACCTCCCCTCCTCGCGCCCATGACTCGATGCGCCTAAAGCCTCGCCCGTCATTTGTCGCGTCTTTACGTTGCTGGTTGACGGCGGACAGTGATGCGGGGGCTGGAATCATTTTTTGTTTCGCCCAACGCCGATCGGACAAACCTCCCTCTCCCCCAAAAGTGACTCCTGTGTTTGGTTGTGTGTTTGTGTGTGGGTGCTCTGACTGCTCTTGCCGTCGCCCGTCTCTCTCTGTTTCCCAGCCGCCGCTACCGGCATCTCATCGTTCCCTCTCTCTCTATCCGAGATTCTTGGTCTTTCCTTTTTATTCGCGCACGCGTTTCATAAGTGGCACGGTCATTACTGCACGTGCAGATAATCATCTGTCGCGTTCAAGGTGGCGGCGCTAGAGAAGCTCCGGCCATCACGACCCGTGGGGCGGACCGGCCGTGGCGTGGCAGCCGCGCTCGTGGCGCTTCATGTTGCTGCGGACGCTGAAGGCCTTGCCACAGCCGGCGTGCGGGCACTTGAAGGGCTTCTCGCCCGTGTGGCTGTGGCTGTGGATGCGAAGGCTGCTGGGCCGCGAAAAGGCCTTGTTGCAGGTCGAGCAGATGTAACGGTCCTGCGACTGGGGGAAGGCGGCGGCGCTCGAGGCGCTGATGTAGTGGTGGTGCTGCCAGGGGTTCGGCTGGCCCGTGGCCGATACCGGCACCGACACGGGGACGGGCGGCGGCGGGAAGTTGGAGGGCAGCGGCCGCTGCTGGTACAGGTGGGCGGAGCCGTAGACTTGGCTCTCGGGCGAGTAGTAGGAGCCGACCGAGTGGGCGCCCGGCGACGAGGCGTAGGGCGACGTGGCGTAGGGAGAGGTCGTGTAAGAGGGCGGCTGCGACGGCACCGATGGTCGCTGGCGCATGGGAGCCGACGCCATTTGCTGGCGTTGCGCGTGGGGCTCCATGTTGTTGAGCGACTGGCCGAGATAGTAGGGCGTCTGCTGGGAGACGGACGAGGGGGTTGATTGGGCGGAAGGAGACTGGTTCCCGTCAATGACGGAGTCCGGCCGCATGGGAGGCGTTGGCGGCAAAGTCATTCTGGGGTGGCTCACGATCGTGGGGGCGAAAGCTTGCGGAGGAGCCTGGTTCGGTTGGTGGTCAGGTTGCAGGACGAGGGCGGCTTGCTGCTGTTGCTGCTGCTGCTGCTGCACTTGTTGTTGTTGTTGTTGTTGTTGTTGCTGCTGCTGCTGTTGCTGCTGGCTCGGAGAAGCCTGCTGGGATTGCGACCCTGAAGATGCGTTTGTTAATTTCCGCGCGTTCGCAGGGCGGGGCAGGCGCGGGAACGCCCGGAATTCACACAACTCACCAGGCTCCTGAGCAGGGCGGTCGCCGTCGGCGATGCCCAGCAGGCTGGAAATCGAGGGCAGCGAGGGCTTGTTGGCCAGCTCTTCGACGGGCGGCGAGGGCGGCGACTGGGGCTGGCTGGGGTAAGGGTGGTGCTTGAGGTGGTGCGGGTGCTGCTGTTGTTGTTGTTGTTGTTGTTGTTGTTGTTGTTGCGGGTAGTAGTAGTGGATGTCCTGGGGCTGGGGCGCGTAGGCGCGCTGGCTCTGGTGGAGGTGGTGTTGGTGCTGCTGGCGATAGTAGTCGTGCGTCTCTCGACGGTCGTCCCGGGCGGCGGCGGTCACCATACTCGACAGCTGCATCGCTCGGCGGGCAGGCTGGGGGTCGCAATATGTAGGGAGTGGTGGGATTGAGAGGAATGGAGGACAAGTAGTGAGCAGCGACACCGTCCGGCGATGACGGTTGGGCTGGCTGGGCTGAGGGAGCGCGGCTTGGGCCAGGGCGGGCATTCAAGTAGTAGACCTCTTGACCTGCCAACAGGGTGGGTCAGACAGCGAGACCCTGGCCTCTGGGATGCTGGCTCCACCGTTGACAAGAGGCGGGCCGTTATTATCTGGAGTTGGCTGAGCCCACTTCTTCACAACGGCAGTGCAGATGCGCCCCCTGCCCGTCAATCTATATTGCGCGCCGGCTATCGCCCCGTTCGGGGAATGAGGCGGGCAGGGGGCGCTGCAGATCCGCCGCTCTCAGGCCACACGCGCCAGCGCGACGGATGAATTCCTCGGCAGCGCTGGGAATGTCGACGACGCGGCAGATCACCAGCGTGCTGCATGCATCCTGTGCCTCTTCAGTAGCTATTGTACTTTCGGTAGACCCTGATGATGATGACACACGCTCTCTCTCTCTCTCTCTCTCACTACCTATTCCTTACTCTTACTCCTACATCCCAGCTTCCACTACTACGTAGGTAGTACCTCCATGATGACTGATCTACAAAATCGAAGCCTTCTGGAACATCCCACCCTGACCGGCCCTAAGATTGGCCGCCGTGAGCCCGCCGCCGCACCCGCCTGAACACGCGGGGCCACGCTCCCTCTGTGTCCACTGGCCACTGCTGCTGCTTGCTTGCTTGCTGACTGCCTTCCATTTCGCTCGTCCAGCCGGTGGGCCTGCCAGCGCATTGCAGCCAAGCACATCCCGACCTCCACACGCGAGCGTTTCGCGCGTGCATCAGCTCGCTTCCCAGGAGGATTTGCGCTGACTCAGGCCGGCATGATTGGAGACTTGCGCCGGGATGCTCGATCGCCGTCCGGGTATGTGCTTAACGGCCGGAACTTGGCAGGGTCACTCCGGCATCGCCCAAACACCACTACCAACCATCTCTCCCACCGCGACCACCGCAACCCACCCTGCACCGCCGCAATCGCGCAATGAGAAAAAAAGGAACAACGGGGAAGACGCGCCGCTTGGCCCGTGGCGCCTGCGTGGCTGCCAGCGCCGCGCCGCACGTCAGCAATCCCCATCTACCAACACACCACGCGCACGGCCCCGGCCTCTACTCTGCTGTACATATTGCCGTTGTAGGCCACCACCCGCCCCCCGAATCAACGGTTCGGGATCAGGGGGGGGCTTTTCCTCGGCTGATCTGCTGCATACGAGATTATCGCGTACATGACTTGGGATGAGAGCTGCTTCAGAAAAAATCCCAGGAACCAGGAGGACTGCCTCACATGGCGGTGTCCTGTCCTGACATCTGCGGACTCTCTACTGGTCGGCGCTTGCGTCGCGCGTGACACGGCGACTCGATTGCACGACTGCCCTCTAGCGGACGCCATGGCGGCCGACGTTCGCTGCTCCCCCTCGATCGCCGTGATCCCTGTAGCGGCATGTCTTAAGACTGTCCCGATCTCATCAAATCAGGACGACTCGTGTCAGGGACGAGGGCATACGTATGCAACAGGGGCGCGCACTCTAAAACTCCATGCGTCCGTATGCAGCGAAGCTTCGAAACTGCTCCGTGCTTGCCGCACCGTGCCGGCAGGCGTGGCTCAGAATGGATGATCCTTGTGGGAGGCTACGCGCCTCGCAGGGCGGTTGACGGGACCACCCACGCCGCCGCCCGTCGCATGTGTGCAGTGCTGACGACGATGAATGCTATCCTGCCACAAGCCAAATAGGCAGCTGAGCAGGCGTCCACCGTCCACACCAGGCCCCCAAGGGTCCCGAGGCCCGAGTCGGAAATCGTTAAGCGTATCCTCAACGGCGGAGAAAGCATGCAGCAGGTCGAGCAAGGGTGCCGCCCCCATCTGGGCAATAGACCCGCGCTGTCACAAAATTGCGCAGCGCATGGCTCAGGAAGCGGCTGACGTAGATCCTTTCGTCAGCCGTTGAAAGCAACCGGAACCGGTGCCTCTCCAACGCATGCCTAGCCAGCCAGGTCAGATCCCACAGAGCGCGTTCCTCCAGTGCTCCGCTCCTCGCCGGTCTATGTACCCTTTCGGTCTGCTCCACCGCGCATCTCCTGTTGACTGACAGCCCAGCGGACACGGCCGCCGGGACCATGGCCCGGCAAGGCCGTCTCTGGGCGCACCTCGTGGTACCTACGGCAGCTTCCGGAAAGAGCCTCTGGCAGATCTTCGCCTAAACAGACGGGATGGACAGACGCTGCGCGCTCTGGGCCTTGCCGCGTATTTGTATCGCGATTTCGAACCGATTGGCGTTCAACCGTTGATGCGCTCGGCTGTTCTTCAACCAAGGCGATTATAGTGGCCCGCCCTAAATGGGGACCGCTCGCCTACTCTAAACCTACTTACGTTCGATCTCTGGCCGCCGTAGACAATCAACAACGATCTCAGTGAAGGAAGCTCCATTACCGCCCGCCAGCCCATCCTGGCACTCCGCGTCGGAAACGGCATTTGAGCTCGCGCGGATCTGCTCAAGGACATTGAATCTTGGGTGCTGACTGCACGCTCTGTTCCTTGTGCCGATTCTGCCTACCCCCTGGATCGGAACTCGGTTTCATTGGCTGGCTACCGGTATTGCCCTGCACGTCGTGCACGTGTCTGGGCGCCTGTCAGGCGGGTCTTAAAAGTGAAGTGTCACGAAATCTCCTACTACCATCAATCAATCAAAGCCTCGTTTCCGGGCCCAGAGGGCATTCTGCCCATAGCTTGCATATTATGGGCTTTCCTATTTCTCTATTATCTAGCGTCCGAGTCCACGTCCATGCACCTCTTCCAAAAAGAGGGTGTCACGAGCGCGACTGGGTCAGACGCCGTCACGGGTCACCGGTCTCCCATGCCCACCTACCAGATCTACGGCGATACCCTGTCCAGGACATGGCTGCATTCCATGAGCAGCTCATCACACATCTCCTATCGGACCGCGCTTAGTTCGGGATCCACCAGGAAGTGCCTCAGCCACTGTATCGCGGCCATCGCGGTATGCCAGCATTGCATGTCCAAGCAGCATTATCGTACGACGTTTGCTGCAACTCCGGAAAATCTCCTGCCTCCTGTCGCATCTTGCGTAAGGATCTGCAGCGGATGCTAAGGGCATGAGGGTCATTTCCGAACCCAGCATGGCGCAGATCACAAGAGGGAGGGAGAGACGCCGGGATGGGTTGAGACGGGCCAGTTTCGATGCATGGTGCCCCTCCTCTGGCTTCTTTCCGACCAGCGCTCAAAGCGGCTCACTCGGTGAATGGGACCGAACCGCCTTTCGTTTGGCCGAAACATGCCCTTGCAAACTGGCGGACGGTACGAAGAGATTCCTCCAACGCGGCCCCAGGCTTACGCGCTCCCTCCCACTTTAGCCTGTTCAGCAGCATATGTCATACGGTTCCCGCATGCAGCCCGCGGGAGCGCTGCGAAGGATGTGAAGGGATTGCCATCGATCATCGAAGATCAAAGCATAATATCGCCTACGATAGGCACCCTTCATTCGTTCCCCCCACGCGGGAAGCATTGCCGGGATTCGTCCAGGCGAGCGCAACCGCAGCGTTTCATCGTTCATGCGCTCGAGGCGACCACGTTTTGCACCAAAAGCGAGGCTGGCGAAGCCTGATGCTCTCGCCGAACCCTCCCTCACCGTCTTTCTATCCGGCGCGCCGTTTGCACTAATGCAAAAGGATGGCATGGGGCATCACCAGTCCCGGACTGGGAGCGTTGATCTACGATGACAAGCTGGCACTCCCCGGCTTTGGCGGGGCGGGGCCGGGGATTGACTCCGGCTACCTTACGAGTCCCTTTCGAGAGGAATGAGCCAAGGGGAGGGAAGAAGTGCGGTGAGCTGCGCCGATTATTGATCGCTCAGCGTGCCCGCATCTGGGCTGAGAGGACCCCGGTCTCCTTCCTCATGGGTCTTCTTTCAGCCGTCGCTCGACTATCCATGCGAGCGACCTGCACCGTCGGTTCCGTTTTCGGCGCTTTGATGGGCTGAGCACTGACTTGGGGTCGTGTGCTATGGTCACTCATTCCCCCTCCAGTCGTCTCATCAACCTGGATGGTGTTGCGGACAGCGCAGCGGGCGGATCCCACCCGGAGGCGGGCACCACATCAAATGCGCGCCCGCTGGCCCAATCAACTCCGTTTCGGGTGTTGAATTAACGCAAATGATTGGGATTTGCACAGTCACAGGCTTATCCAGGTCTCCAGCGCCGTGATTTTCCGGCGATTCTCCCGGGACCCATGCTCATCAAGTCATGCTAGACAGCAGCGTCGAGCCCCATCCTGACCAAAACCTCTTTGCACCGACGATGCTCCTGCTCATCAGCGCTCGGCTGTTCTTGCTCTCTGGCAATTTACCTACCCCCCTCCCCACTGGCACGATTCACGAAGCTGAAGCACTGTTGTTCACGACGTCATTGTGGGCTCCGCAAGGGGCGGGCCTTCTGGGCCAAGCTCCAGCCGCAGAACCCTGATCGTTGCGGTAGCCCACGTGTCCGGAACATGGCGAACTCGGCAGAGTTCCTCGCTGCGGCGCCGCCCCGCCCAGATTGGCAACCGATTGGCGTTGACGCGCGCTGCGATTCGATTCCTTCGTCCCCTCCCCCCCTCCTGCACCAACCACCAGAACAGCCTTGCGCGAGCTGGCAAGCGCTCGACAAGCTGACCGGCCTGCGTATTGTAGCTAGCGCGCCGTTTTGGCCGTTGGACCGGGGCTCGCAACAGCTCCGTGGCTGCCCCCTCGATGCCCTTTGCACGGCTGCCGATGCCCCCGACGACGCAGGACGCGCAAGCTGCCTTGAGGTGCGGATGGGCAACCGCCACACGCTGACGTCGCCGGCTGGCGGGAGCTCATCTTGGGGACTCTTGACGTGGTTGTGGGAAATCGTCGATGAGATCGGATTTACACGCAGCTGCAACAAGAATCACGTTACACTCAGCAGCTGCATGAGGGGGAAAAAAGTGAGATGCAAGCGAGAAAAGAAAAGAAGAGAAAGAGAAAAAAGAAGTAATAAGCGGACGGTATGCCTTTCTGGACGGCGGGTTTGCGGGCAATCAAACTGTAGTGGGTTGTTGAGTGCTTGGCAGGCGAGGTGGCGAACTTCACCACTTCCCAAAAGAACAAGCGGCATGACGTTTCTTTCGGAAAGGCGGTGTTTTTTCGTGTCGCGGCTGCGGGCGCTGCGGGCGCTGCGGGCACAGCCCTGCGCGCGTGTTCCACTTTCTCCCTCCTTCTCCCGCCCTCGCCAGCATCGTCAACGTCACCCAGACAAAGCAAAAAAGGAGCCAACGGATCTAACAGCATCGCCAAAATCCGCAGTCTGGACCATGGCGGCGGGTGCGCACTTCCTCGTCTCTCATCGTCCATCAGTCCTGCTCATCATACCGCCCAATTTCCGCTTCCGCCCTCGGTAAGCTCCGCCGACAAGCATCCCCATGTCAACACCGGCTGTCGGCGATCTCGCCAAATTCCACCACGCCGGACTTCAATCTACCACCCACGAGCACATCGAGAGCAATCTCCCGGTGCACGATTAACCACTTGCCTCGCTTTGGCTGTCTCCTCCGCACCGCCAGACTCGTGCCTCGTCGGCTGTGAGGTCCCGCCGCGGCGGCGGAACTGCTTCCTACTCCGGCTGTTGGCTGTGTCTACCCCGATGCTACCTCCCTCGCTCCCGTTGCATCGCCAATCATCATCATCGCTGTCTCGGTCGACTCGCCAGGCCCCGCTGTTGCTGCTCGCGATCCGCAGCCGCGTCGTCCTTCATCCGCGCCGCAGGGCTATGCTTGAACCGCTTCCGACACCCAGCTTCCACCCTCTCTTTTTTACTTTTTCTTTTTTTTTTTTTTTCCTTCTCCCTCTCCTTCCTACTCTCTTCGTCATTGCAACCACGATCGAGTTTCAAGATCCTAGGGCCGGAAATAACCATGTGCAAATCTCCATGCCATCTGCCCCGCCCCCTATGTCCACAAGATGTGCCTGCGGCGGCGGCCTCGCGGCCGGCGAGGCCTCTTCCTCGCGACGGTAATCCTCATCTTTTGGCCCCGTGCCGGTGCCGGGCCTGCCCGATCGCCGCGGTCTCGGCTCTTGGCCTTGGGGCGGATTGCGGGATCCTCCTCGTCTCGTAGCGCAGGGACGGCAAGTGAGATGAGCGCGCTGTGGCGTCCCGTCTGTATCAACAACCTGCTTGCCGGTTTTTTGCTTGCTTGCTTGTTTTCCTTCGACCATTCCCGCTTGTCTGTCCTTTGTCTGCCCAGCTATATGCGCGTCGTGCTCGTCTTCACCGTCACTCTCCTTCTCTTCCTCATCATCGTCCTCAGCCTTATCGTCATCGTCGTCGTCATTTTCGCCTCCTCTATCCCAGCCACCAGCACGTCCATATTCCCACCAACCACACGCATATCTACATACAGCAGCTTCTGGTATCCCTCTCCCTACGTAACTATGTACTCATGGGTAACAACCAGCATCGCCACAACCTCGCAACCCCCCCTTCTGCCCTACTGCACCACATCCCGCAGCTCACACCTCGCGCTCTTGTCTTGCCAGACGCTCGTATCAGCGCAACATAGCACAGAAAGCCTCCATCCCGTATCCGTATCAGCCAATCCTTGTCCCCATTCCGCTCCGTGCTTGCCGGGGAAAGTGCCGCGCAGCGACGCCGTACGATGGCGGAGTGCTCCCCGCCAACAACAACGTCATGCATGCTGCGTGCTGGCGGGGCGGAAAACAAGTGCGGATAATGCGGATATGCGGATATGCGGATGTGGATGTGGATGTGGGTGCGGGTTTGGGGCTTGTGCGGCGGGTGACGTGGTCGTGTGGCTGGGGTGGGCGAGTGGGTAGGTGTGGGCGAGAGTGCGGGTGTGAGGGGGTGGGGAGTGCTGCTGGCTGGCTGGCGCGGAGGCGGGTGGTGAGACTGAGAGGGGCAGTTAATGCCAGGCGGGCACTGGCACTTGCAGGTAAGTGAGTGAGCGGCTAGGTAGGTTGTCCTGTGAGGTAGGTACATCCATTCCCTTGCTCTCTTGGTCCGTAGCCCGCTCCTGAGTTTTCGCGTGTCTGGCGCCCACCTGCTTGCTTGCTGTGGGAGACGGGAAAGCGCCGTTTGGCGCGAGTGGCCTGGCCGCGCTGTCGGTCAACTACTAATCCGTACGGGTTCCGTGGCTCTCGGGCTCTGCTTGGACTTTGAACAATCACGACCAGTGCTGCAGTCCTACTGGAAGCGTCACCTTGCTTGTCGCCGCGATGAGCGCTCACTTTTGCCAATTTGCATCATCCCGAACAAGTACCGGGGTGATACAACACAGACCTCCTGCCGTGCTTACAGCAGAGTGTAGTGCTATATTCTCGTGTCGGTCCTGTGCTGCGCCCCGTGTGCGCTTGGTGATGACTGTCAACGAGTTGAGGTCGTGGTGGTCGATGGTGTGTGGGCTTGGTGATGACAGGTGGATGTGGGTGCGGTCTTTAATCAGTACTGAGCTCGGCCTGCGGAGAGCCTCGCGGTATTTGCTGGGGCCGAATAGCCTTCGAGAACTCGGTGAAGACTGTTAATATCAACTTTGCCAGAGTTCTTGGGATTGGTGGCGTCTTTAGGCCAGCCAGAGTTGCTGTTGTCGAAACCAGAGTTCTCAGTTCCAGGCTGCTCTACAGGCCAGCCAGTGTTTCCGCTGGGTGTCGTGGGTTGATTGTTGGTTGTGTGTTAACCAAGCCTGCTGTCTTCGTTTGCGTCCTGAGGCACTGGCAGCCTCCCGGATGTTTTCGGACTCGGTACAACACGTCCCTTTACTGCTTATTTGGTGCTATGAGGGCGATGGCATTGAAGCGGTTTATTGGGATTTAGGTTAGGCTTGTTGACCTTGTCTAGGTAGGGACATTGTCTTGAGGCCTGGAGTGCTCTTTGTAGCTAGTGGCTATTACGTAGTGCTTTGGACATTTTCTAGTGTTCCAGCTTGACAGTAGAAGATCTTGTTAATGTGCTAGGACCGGAGAATATCATCCTGTGGACAGCGTTGTTTAGAGAAAGTGATGGTTTTGCGCGGAGTTCAGAGTTGTTGTTTTGCGGGTATAAGAACGGTGCCGTGCAGATTTGGAGATCGGGGTTGGCAGCCTGCTGAAGTGCTTGGCGTATGGTTGATGAGGCTTTTTTTTTTTTTTTTTTTTTTCGCGACCTCACGGATGGCTTTGTGGGTAGTTGGTAGTGAATTTATCATAAATACATGTAGAGCTCCGGATACTATGAATATCTTGGAGTACAAGAAGGATTAGAGATGGTTCTTTTGCAATACTGCGAAATACTTTGTTATAGTTAAAGCTATTTTTTGCATGCCTAAGCGGCCTCCGCTGAAGTGGAAGATATCTGTCGATGATGGGGATGAGGTCTTTCTACAGTATCTACTATTAGATGCTAGTTTTGTGGTGTTTAAGAGCGTTTCGTGTACTTCGTGCCTTTGTTCATTGATGGCAATGCTATGGTTCTGCACAACGGATACTGTTTCTTACTGTGCATCTTCTTTGTTGTTCATTTTGCACTGTTAGTACATTTACAGTGCATATAGAATGAAAGCGATGGGTTTAAACGGCGATCTTAAGATTTCCTTTCGAGGCTTGTATCGTATATCCTATTCGGACTAAAATAAGCGAACTGCTTTAGAGCTTTTTAGAAAGATATACTAAGGACCGAGCTATGATCCTATGATTTCGAGGTCCAGGAACAGACTGCCTAAGGAGCATGTTAATACCATATATTCGCTAACCAAGATTGTTATACGTAATGCAGCCACCGACATGAGCATAAAAGCAGCCGGTACTCTATAAAAATTGATAACGCCAAGAGTGGAATTCGTATCGAGATTGTTAGCACGCTTGGTGATATTCCCATATGAACATCACTATTGGAATCAATGCTAAATTTTAGCTCTTGTCTGCCTCTTTACATACATCTTTGACAGCACGAATGTGCGGTATGGGACGCCTTGTTCCATTTTCTCGAAAGCATCTATGCGTTCTCCACACTGTACCTTAACACATTCCTATAATCGCATGATTATAGACGATCATGTGAATCAGCTGAGACCAGTTCTACTATCAATGTCCAAATCAATAGAAGCCGGGTATAAGAAGCGGTGATGATCTATCAGCTGATATCAACGGCGATAATACTCACCAACCAGCAACTGACTCGCGAATGGTTGGTTGATCGACTCCATTGGACCGGTCGATCCTCCAACCTCCTTAACTCTCCAGACCCATTACGAGCGATATCTCGAGAGAAAGCCGAACTGCCCAAGCACAGAACAGTGCACGAACCCGACCCGACCAGCAAAGCCGCACGAACACCACCACCATCGCTCGGGGCCCCATGATATCCTACTGACATAAAGCTGGGCCCCAGCCATAGTACGCTAGACATCGTACCCAGCACCAGGAACGAGGCAACCGGCCCAAAACATGCGCACCAACAGTGGCCTGATCCAGTCACGCAATCATGACCTAAGATGTCATACACGCCCCCTGGATGCCATCAGCGAGACAAACGAAGCAAAATACGAGCCAGACAGTTAGGCTGGAGCTGTGCTAGGCGAGGGCGCTTCTTGGCTTGAGGTCAGAGTAAGGTTGGCGATCAAGCCGAGTCGGAACCAAGGCTTGAGGAGCCCACTACCGAGGTTTTGCCAGCTGGGCTGGGAATGGCGGGGGCGCTGGTGGATGCTGGTGAGGGCTGATGGGGGAATATCAGTTGTTAGTTCTACTCGTGCGATGGGTTGTCTTTTTGGAGATGGATATTGGTTGGTCTTAGTTGAGGTTGAATGGGGGTGAAGCGGCACAACCAACCATCTCTTGTAATTCATTAGATTAGTCGTGGCCGGTCGCGGAGATTGGCCGTCGATGGCATTCCGATTGGCCAACAATGATGACGTTAAAATGAATGTTTGAAGAATGGAGTTCCTTGCTTCATTCATGTCGTTGAGTGAGCTTGCTAAGCGACAACGTGTCAATCCATCTAACAGTGGTCAATGTATCTGTAGCAAGTAAAATGGCGACAAGCCTGGTCAGTTTACATATACGCAACAGACCTTCCAGCAATTCGACCTGTGTTTTGAGACTGGCAGTCAAGGCGATGCATGCTATACCCATCAACTACTCTATACATGCTGAGAAGTGTACTTGTTCAAGGGTAAAACAAAGTTCGAGGTGCTTAATCTCTGACCAGTGCCTGAGCAGCAACGACTGCCTGCACCTTACTTACGACCTCACAGCTTTGTTACAGGAGTGCAAGTGCTTGACAGTATGGACTCTGTTGTAGAGCAGGCGGGTGATTCTGCACAACATATACGCGTATCCATCAATGGGATGGGGACAAAAATAGTCTGACCAAAGTAATAAGAACCTGACTCCTACGACCGGGAAAGGATTGGAGCATGTCGAATTGGAAATAAAGTAGAAGCATAACACCAGCATATGGGGGGGGGGGGGGGG